AATAATAAAATAAAATAAAATTTTAAAAAAATTTAAAGAAAATCTGAATAGAGAGGCATTCCATGTTTATGGATTGGAAGATTCAATACCGCTAAGATGGCAATACTCCCCCAATTGATCTATATTCAACCCAGTCTCTGTCAAAATCCCAGGTGGCTCCCCTCCTCCCACCCCCCATTGAAAAGCTGACTCTAAAATTCACATGGAAATGCAAAGAACCCAGACTGTCCAAAACAATCTTGAAAAAGAAGGACTTACACTGCTTAATTTCAAAACTTACTGCAAAGCTACTAATAAAGATAGTGTGGTACTAACAGAAAGACGTCTGTATCAGTGTAATTGAATTGAGAACCTGAAATAGACTCTTTTTTGGTCAACTGATTTTTCACACAGCTGCCAAGGCAATTTAATGTGAAAAGGATAGTATTTTTAGCAAATGGTAATGGGACAATCCTTGTTTCATACCATACACCAGAATTAACTTAAAATGGATCATATATCTAAATATGAGTTAAGACTATAAACTCTTAGACAAAACATCTTTGTACCCTGGATTAGGCACCTATTTCTTAGATATGACACCGAAAGCACAAGTGATAAAGAAAATACTGATAAATTGGTTTTCATCAAAATTAAAAACCTGTATGCTTCAAAAGACAACACTGGGAAGAAAATGAAGAGACTTGGAAAAATATTTGCAAATCATATATTTGAGAAAGGACTTGTATTCAAAATATATAAAGGGCTCTTGCAGTGAAATAATAAGACAAATAACCCAAACATTAGGCAAAGATTTGAATAGAAATTTCCCCAAAGAAGATATACAAATGGCCAATCAGCACATGAAAATATGCCAAACATCATTAGTCACTAGGGAAATGCAAATCAAAACCATTATGAGATACTTCATACCCACAAGAATGACTATAATTAATAAAATGGACAGAAATAAGTGTTGACCATCATGTGGAGAATCTTGAACCTCCTTAACATTATTGTGAATGTAAAATGTTACAGTTACACTGGAAAACAGTTTGGCAGCTTCTCAAAATGTTAAACATAAATTTTCCATCAACATGCAACAACTCCGTTCCCAGGTCTCTTTCCAAGAGAAATGGACTTGTATATGAATCTTCATAGCAGCATTATTCATAATATCCAAAATGGAAACAACCCAAATGTCCACCAACTGGTGAATGAATAAGCAAAATGTGGTAAACATGTATAATGGAACACTATTAACAATAAAAGGAATTAAGTACTGATACATGCTATAACATGGATGAACCTCATCAACATTGTACTTAAATAAGAAAGCCAGACTCAAAAGTTCACACATCATGTGATTTTATTTATATAAATTGTCCAGAAAAGTCTAATTTATAGACAGAAATTAGGTTAGTAGTTGCCTGGGGATGGTGGAGATAAGTGGGTAAGGGAATAGGGAATGACTACAGATAGGCGTGAAGTTTCTTTCTGGGATGATGAAAATATTCTAAAGCAAGATTGTATTGATGGTACACAACTCTGTAAATTTACCCAAAAACCATTGAACGAGTTAAATGAATGAATTTACGGTAAGGTGTATCTCAATAAAGATGTTAAAAATCTTAAACCCAGAAATTAACAAGTAAACAAAATCTTAATTAATATACTGATATTCCTTTCATGCTGGATAATACAGCTGATTATTAACCATGACATACATTCCTAATATAGAAGTATATATAGTCATAAATCTAGTTTATTTCTTGACAAAGGATAGTAAAGCTCAGTGAATTTTTAGTGTCATTTGAAGCTCTAGCCCTCTAATTAGAGGGTTCTTGATTAATAACTTGACAGTATATCACCAATTTGGAACTGTTAGATTACGGCTGTCTGCTGGTACGGTGAATGTGATCTCTGCTATACTGTTAGTTGACCTTGTCACCAGTTAAGTTAAATTTGTTGACCTGCTGAACTCACCATGATCCTAAGATGGTTCATCAGAAAGGTAACTAGGTGTGTTGGGAATTGAGAGTTTAATTCCAACTTGTTATAATACTGGTGGAAAAATTTGGGCTGCATTACTTAACTCGTTTTATTTAATCTAGTTTATAAAACAATATTTTAGACACAAATATGTCAAGAGATAAGAGATTACAAGACTGCTTAGTCTGGGTCTCTGGGAAACCATAAATTCAAGAGTTCCTTTATTAGAGAGCACAAATGTGATGAAAGGTTTTGCAGAATCCATTTATCAACTATAGAATTCATGGTGTGAAAATCAAAATGCTCCTTGACATTTAAGAGCATTGCTAACTGTTGAATAGTAAGATTCCAGAAGATCAGGTCAGCGAAGGCCTCAGAAAGAGAACAGGTGATCAGAGGAACGGTTGTCAGGATCCTGGTCCTGAAGCACAAACCACACGCACACAAGCAGATGTGGATTTCTAGTGNTAAGAGCATCGCTAACTGTTGAATAGTAAGATTCCAGAAGATCAGGTCAGCGAAGGCCTCAGAAAGAGAACAGGTGATCAGAGGAACGGTTGTCAGGATCCTGGTCCTGAAGCACAAACCACACGCACACAAGCAGATGTGGATTTCTAGTGGAAACAGCTGTAGATAAACCCAATTGTGAAGCCTTCCAAAGTGAAGGGGGCTGACTTTAATACAAGGAAACAGAATCACAACCAGCCCTGGCCTTAGAGCTGGCTGCAGGGATGTGCTCCAGTCACATCAGAGCCCTTCTTCAGCCACACTTTTGGCAGATGGCAGCACCATGTGGTGTCACCATGAAATACAGAGTGCTGGGGGGGGGGGAAGGTACCTGCGGGTTCCTGTTCTTTTGCTTGTGGGTGATACACTCACTATTGTTGAGCTTTCCTCTACAGTTGAAGAGATTCTGTTGTGCTTCTGTCTGTGAGTGGGGCAATTTCTACCCATGATCTATAGCAGCATATCTGCAAATGCTCATTGAATAATGCACACAGTAGGATATTCCTGACTACATACCTATAAGCCATGAGGCCTTTTGGAGAACACAGAATGCCTGATGATGGCTTTCTATACTAAACCAAGTATTTTCTCATTTGTTGATTGGAAGGAATAGGAGATTAGTTATCTCACAGTTTCACATATACAAATTTTTACTCTAATAAAATATAATACATATTAATTTTGTCTGTAGCTTTATGATTTCTAATTTTAATTTCCTCATAGGTATTTTAAGAGCTCAATAATACACTATATGTTTTAAAATTTGACACAAAGACAACTGGCAGGGTATTTATTCTATGATAAAATCAATGTAAGATAGTTTTTCTGACAACTCTTTTTANAATAGTTTTTCTGACAACTCTTTTAAAAAATGAAACAACTATAGCTTAAACCAGGAAATTGATTTTGTTTTCAAACTCCAGGAACATGAGACATGAATTTGGTCAAGCTTTAACTGATTGCTTACTTTGGTATGTATTTTGCTTTGTGTTTTCATAGAGTAAAAAAGCCATAAAGAGTATCTTACAAAAATGCACCTACTTACCAGCCCTTGAGCCATTTCTCTATGATGCTCCTCCCAATATTCTGAAGCATGTGGTCGGACAGTTCAGTAAGGTAAGAAGAGCTCTTAGCCTGCAAGTGGGCGAAGAAAATGAAAATGAAGTAACATTGTTGGTCAATGTTTTCTTCCGTAAGATGGGGGCAGGGTTCTCCTACTTAACTCTCATTGATTGTATTGACAGGGATGGTAACATAGATGAATAAAATTCACACCTACATAATTCACACTTCCTTTCTCCTCACAATCTCTGTACCCTCTTTTTAGTGTTCTTGGGGAGTAAATAGTGTGTCAACACATAAAAACCTCATAATATACATAATTTACATTGATAAGTAACTTTTAGTAATTTCCCTGGTGTCTGTTAGCCTCACTCATCTGGGAACACTGCAAAGGTCTTGTAAAAAAAAAAAGAGAAAAGTCTCTGAGCCACTGAAATTTTCTGCACAAAGTTAATGCACTTACCAGAGATGCTCTTAGTCATTTGAAGTTTACTGACTTATTTTACAAATAATTTTAACAAATGAAGCGGTCATATTTCTTAGATTATTGCAGATTGAAAGTAGTATGGTAGGAAGGTCAAGCCGCTAGCCAGCAGGACTGACTACTGATAGCAAAGGCTGAGAGAGAATGACTACCTTACCACAGCCACTGACGGCCAGGGTGTGACCCTAAGCTATCAAGAACTGGTTAGCCCAGCTGATGTGGCTCAGTGGTTGAGCATCAACCTAGGAGATTGAGATCCGATTCCCGGTCAGGTCACATGCCCGGGTTGCAGGCTCAGTCCCCAGCAGGGGGCATGCAGGAAGCAGAAGATCATTGACTCTCACCATTGATGTTTCTATCTCTCACCCTCTTCCCCTCTGAAATCAATAAAAAATTTAAAAAATTTTTAAAAAAGAACTGGTTAAATTGGGCTCAGGATATTTAAGAAAATGGAGTCTGTGGAAGTACTATCCCATAGTGGCTCTGAGCTCAAGCTGTGGAGTTGGGGTACGTGGATTTACATTTACAAGCTGTAATATCTTTATCAGAGTCTTAACCTTTCTAAACCTTAGTATGATTCCCCATAAAATGGGGTAATAAGAATACCTATTTCATAGGATCATTGTAAAGTTAAATGAGATGTTATATGAAAATAGTTTAGCTCAATCCCAGGCACATAAAAATGAACATTAACCAAAATTAAGAGTTAAAAATCAGTCACTAAAGTAAATAAAAATTAATCAGTGAGATTTGTGGAAGGTTGGATAGCCAAGATAAAATAAAGACATACCTCATATTATGTACTCTTATAAATATGCCTTTGGGAGTATTTGCTTCAGGCAGAATTTTGTGTTTTCTTAATCTAAAGATACCAGAGCACTAGAAAGAGGAGGGAAAGCCAGGCGGGAGGGAAAAAGATAGTTTACTGTGACTGGGGACAGACATAGGAGGGATGAAAACTCTCCAGGCCAAAAACATATTAAAAACTGATACATATGTGCAGACCATTCCATTTTTTATTTTTTTTTAGAATTTTTTGCTTTTTTAAAAAAATATATCTTTATTGATTTCAGAGAGAGGAAAGGAGAGGGAGAGAGAGATAGAAACATCAATGTGAGAGAGTCATTGATCGCAACCCGGGCATGTGCCCTGACCGGGAATCGAACCCCGATCGCCTGGATCCCAGGTGGATGTTCAACCGCTGAGCCACACCCAGCCGGGCGACCATTCCCTTTTTTGAAATATATACTAGTGTAATCTTTTATTGTCTTTTATTGTGATGTGTATTAACATTCTATTAGCCCGCTCCTTTTGCAGTTTTAAGTATTTGTTAAATGCCTACATGTACCCTGTAAAGCTCTGAGAGAGACAAAAAAGAATAAGACAAAGTTCTTCTCCAAGGAACTTTATAACTTAGCTGGGGAGACGAGAAGAAACAGAAAATCAGTGTGCGAGACTTCCTGATAAACTCATCTTAGAAAGAAGGAATAAGCGAGCGCACCGAGGTGCTCCCGGGGGACTCAGTGGGGCAAATACAAGTGAAAAAAGCTGGCTCTGAAGAAAGGGTGGGAATGGCGGGCAAAGAAAGGGTGTTTCTGTCAGAGGGAATAGTAGCAACCACCAAGGAAGAGGGCGATCCCCACACTGCGAACCCCCTCCGAGCCTTCCTCGCCTGGTCAGCTGTGGCCACGCAGAGTAAATTTCCTCATCCGCACCGGCTCTGTCCTCGCCACACACAGACCCGCTGTCAAACCCAGGGACCTTCTTTAGTTCTCACTGGTTGCTTCTTAAAACCTCGGATTTGCTGATTCCTTGCTTTCCTGATTCTTCTTCTGTCCCTTTAACATCTCAATTTCCTTTTCTTGCCTACTCCTTAGTATGTTCATTCATTTGCTGAACATTAATTGAGCATCTATTAGGCACCAGGCACGAGAGGAATAAATGAATGAGTAAAGGTGCAGTTTCTGCCTTCATGACATTTATGTGCGACAGACATATAGATTGATAATTAAAATATTATGTGGCAAGTGCATGGGGTTTAACAGAATGCAATGAAAGAAGAAAAGTACCTAACTCTCCCTGGGATAAGGGAATAGGGGTGTCCCAGAGAAAGTTTCTGAAAGGAAGTAACACCTGAGCTGACTCTTAAAAGGTAAGCAAGAATTAGCCAAGGAAATGCGGGGAGGTGCGTGGGAGGGGAAGGGAATCCTAGGAGAGGAAGCAGCAGGGCAAAGCGAGAGATGGCCTGGCGCGTACCCTTTGAGGTTATTGACAAAATCTGGGGTAGAGATTAATGGGAAAGGAAGCTGGAGAGGTATTTAGCTGCTGAGTCCCAGAAGGCCTGGGCATTGTTAAGGAGTGTGCCTTTAATTTTGTAGGTCGGGGAAAGATTTAGAATGGGTGTCAGCAAAGGAGGGACACCACTTCGTTTTATGCATATGAGTAAATCTCCGTTGCCTTTGCTCATGTTCATCGCCTTTATTCCATCTGCACAACATAAAAAGTTCATACATTTCTAAAAAGACTGAATTTTACTTTAATCATCAGCAAATTAGGCTCATGGGGCTGGGGATCGAGCCTGCAACCCATGTACATGACCCTTCAGTCCGCAGGTCACCACTCTAACCACTGAGCCAAACTGGCTTGGGTGCAAAGCTGACATTTTCATGTGCTTCGCTTTTCAAGGTGCTGCCACACGATAGCAAAGCTCGACGACTTTTTGTAACAAGTGGTGGACTGAAAAAGGTTCAGGAGATCAAAGCAGAACCTGGGTCTCTTCTCCAGGAATACATCAACAGCATTAACAACTGCTACCCAGAGGAAATAGTAAGGTAGGAAAAGTAGACTTTGAGAAGTTCAAATTATGATGTGGTTTTTCTGTTTTCAAACCTACATTTCATATCCAGTGTCAAAATGTGACCTACGAAACACTACATGAGACCAGTGTATGCCTTTACCTGTGCTCTTGATCACATTTTTCACTCAAGTTAAACAATGTTCTGATTGATACACACATTCCCAAGTTAAACTGCAATGTCATTTGAGACATTTCTGCACTAGTTTAAGACATGCTTTAGTAAAGAATACCCAAATACAGAGTTCAAATTAAATTAATCTTTACTGTGAACCTGATTTAGAAAATAGGCCTATAGGTTCTGATTGTCATAGTTCCCTGCATATATTATTAAGCTTACACTTATATTAATGGGAGTATTACAAGTAGAAAATAAATATGTTAACTATCAAAAAGAAAGTTACAATCTATATTTGAAAACAATAAATGTTGTCTGTGATATGCAGGTACTTCATAGTAATGTAGCAGGAAGCTACTTTCAAGATTAATTTTTTAAAATGAAGTTAATTTGAAGAGCATTAAACCTAATCCTCTCAGACCTTGTAAGCAAAATAGAGAACCATACCATTTTTATTATGTGAAAATGCCCACAACACCTGCAGAATTAAAGGTCACAGTTTTCTAGTCCTACACTTGCTTCTTACTTTCTCTAATACAANTTTTCTAGTCCTACACTTCTTACTTTCTCTAATACAAGAGAATATAAATTTCAATTTTAAAACTTATAACTTATATAAATGATTCTTCCTATTTAATATTAGTGATTTTTAATACATATGGAAACATTAATTTAAAAACAAAAATAATTTTATTTAAGTTTAAAATTTGTTTTCTGTTCACATATATTCTGCAGGTAAATTCCTTCCACAGATGTTAAGTTTGTGCACTTTTGGAAGGTTTATGAGAACTCCTTGACCAAAAGAGTGCCAATAAGTTAGCTTTGAAAATATTAATACATATAAAATATACCAAAGGAATATCATAAAATGTATATCTACTATATATAATTTACAAATATGATAATACCAAAAAGTTTATATAGCATATAAACTATGTGTAAAACCACTAAATGAAGAAAATATGAAAATCTTTTCTCAAGAAAAGAAAATCAAGTTAATCTTTACACATTTGCATGTCCCTTTAGGAAGAATACTATTTTATGTAAGTTTAAAATAACTTTCAGTACAATTTGCTAACAAAATTATAGAAAAATGAAACAAAGCAAACTAAAGGGCCCCCCAGATGGAATGACCTATTAGAATTAATCAGTGGTTAAAGAACTTTCTTGAATAGAAGTCTTCTTTCTACTCCTTTCTAGGATTATTTTACAGAGCATAAGGGAAAATTAAAAAACTCTCATGTTAGACTCTAATATGGTGCCTTGTCAAAATACTATTGTAAAATTTTAACTTCTAACATTCTAGGACCTAGGATTTTGTTTTTTAAATTGGCTAGTTATGAAAAAGTTTGGTTAGCCCACTTTTTCAAGTTTCTGATTTTTTAAAAAAAGTATTAGGTTCTATAAAGCGGTTTTATAGAAATCTTTGAAACTTTGTCTTTCTATGAAAAGAGACAAATACAATCTTAAAGTGGTTTTATTTTTGCAATCATATTTTCAAGGATCACTTGACTGTTTTAGAACTAGTTATTCTTTATAAGACCAATTATCAATGGTCACATTCTCTCTGCTCTTTTTAGCCTAAACATTTACTTCATATTGCCTTCCAATTTTTGTAATCTTTAAAAATTTCTAATAAAGATAGTTGGTATGATGAGAGAGAAGGGATCCAGGACTACATGTTAGAAGGTCTAAGTTCTAGCCCTTGTCTACACCACAGTCAGGGATATTTTGGAACTCTCTGTTTCCTGGATCTCCGCCTAAACTCGGGAGGGGAAGATGCCTTTAGGAGCCATCGCATTTGGAGAGAGGAGCGTGCACACATGCCTTTTGTTTTGGCACATTTCTGACATGGTAACTATATAATAACCCAAATCCTACATGGGTCTAGAGCAGGGTTAATTCACTTATATTCTTAAGGCCATATAGAAGTAAATTGGGCTAGCAGTAGCTAACGAGCAGAGAAAAGGAATTTACAGTTCTTTTTTGGAAGTTCATTTCGGTTCTTTTATGAGGAGTATGTGGTTAGCACCTACCATACGGCAGCACAATTTTTAAAACTGTGGTTTTTATTTTTTTTATATACCTCTTGCCACTTACATAAAAAATACCTATCTTGTGTCTGACATATGCGTAAGTCCTGGGAAGGTGAGGGCTACTTTAAATGTTGTGACTAACTCAGAGAGGGAAACAGTTGTGAATTCCTCAGGGTATGAATTCTTTGAAGAGATCTGATGAAGGAAAATTTTTTCCAGAGTAGGTAGCCTTTAGGAGAGAAACATTCTTTAAGGTAGTTTTTTATGTTTGTATGTATGGTTAACTATGGCTCCCTATAAAAGCACACTATTAAGAAAATATAGCTCTGTTTTATCCACTATAACTTGACAAATTGTGGAAGAAATTAGTGTTCTCTCAATTATGAGTTTTTAAGCCAAGCATCTGAGGATAAAGATAACTAACAAAGGGCAAAACAAGTCTCAAAACTTTAGGTTTTCTCTGGACAAAACGCCTTAGAAGGCTTATTTTAAGTGTTTTGGAAAGTTTTAAATTACAGTTTAGATTTTTTTAGTCATTTATTATATTCTAGAATGTCTGCCAGGTTGTGATATATTTTTATATGCATGTAAATTCTTTCCATGGTGTATGAAGCATCCCACAATACATTGACCAATATATTTAATACTTTTATACTAAACCTTTCATAAAATGTTCTATATATAGATATAACTTTAAGTACTATAGAAATGAAATCGATTAATTTCCTTGTAAACCATTTATGGAATAGTTCTTTAGTATGAATTATGCTCCCAGAAATTTTTGTTTTTATGGGTAAACAGGCCTGATTAAAACATACATTGAGAATAACCTCTAAAATAACCTGAATGCAGAAGTTGATTAGTAATTATACACTGTGTTGACTAACTTATGAAAAAAAATCTATTAGCTATGATCATTAAAGCAACATCAGTCACTTGACATAATAAAAACAAAGTCACTTCCATAAAATACTATCACTGGGTCCAAGTATCTTCCTTTGAAAATATTCTTTGCCACTGCATTGATAGCCCTTACATGTTTTGTTATCTAGCAGTCTTGTGAGTTGGTGTTTTGTTGTGTTTTTTCAATCCTCACTTGAGGATATGCTTGGAGAGAGGGAGGGAAGGAGGAAGGGAGAGAAACATCGATCGACTGCCTCCCATATGCACCCTGACTGGGGATCAAACCTGCAACCAGCGTATGTGCCCTGACTGGGAATCAAACCCACAATCTTTTGCTGATGCTCCAAGCAAGCCACCCAGCCAGGGCAATGTTCTTTTTCTTGACAGGCTCTAGCCTTCTGCACAAAGCACTACTGGAGTGTAATTATTCAGAGGTTTCATTCATAGAATTATTTCTGATAAAAACAACCTTACACTGAATCTTTTGTGCCTACTGAGCTGAATCTTTTCACCAGTATCTAAAAAAAAATTCTTTTTTTTTCAGGTATTATTCTCCTGGATATTCAGATACACTTCTGCAGAGAGTGGACAGCTATCAACCACTTAGTAACTAAGCAAAGTTATGTTTTTACACTCAAATTTGCAGTACAGTAGTTATAAAATAACAGTTGTTAAATAAAGCTCTTTCTAAATATTTGAACTAAGTATATTCTAGATTTATTCAATGTGAAATACCTTTAGATAATATTTTCTTAATTTATGTAATACTTTAAAAATTACTAGCTTGAATATATGAGAAACTATTCATGGTCATTTCCACAGGATTTACTAAAAAGGTAGATTTAAAAAGACATTTTTTAAAACACATTAAAGAATTTTAAGACATTTGTTATTGTTCTATTAAAAACTATACACACACCCCTCCAACTAGATACAGATGAAAGATGGTACTCAAAAATTCGGTTATTTTGGCCAATTCTTCACAGGCATAGGCAAGGAAAACTGGCCTTCCAAGTTCCACAGTAGGTTATGGAAGGGAAATAGTTGAAAGAGGAACCTGATGACAGGAGTACAGAGACTAACGCTGGTGGCATAAATGCATTAACTGGGCGTGCCTGTAATATTTGGCCTTCCCTCTGTTCCTTTCCAGTTAATTAATAACCAGGTCATTACAACAGTACCATTCCCCCGAGAAAAAAGAAATCTCTCTAATTTCACAAAGGAGAAATGGCTGAAGGTCTCTGTCTTCTTGTAACTGCTTCCTGCTGCCAAGGGGCCTAGATCTGCCCATCCCCAGGTTCAGAGGTCCTCGCTGTCTGACAGGAAGGGTGAAGCAAAAAGGGAAAGAGTCCTTGTGCAGAGAAGAGGGATTCTGCAAAGTCCGTGTCAGCCCGGTGTCCCCAGGTGACGTGGGCAATGTCCAGGAGGTTGATGTGTGACAAGCTGACATCCTTGTTGAATTCTAGAAATGACAAACTTGACAAGAAGGCTAAAAGGCACAATTCAAAAGTGAGGAGACAACAACTAAAGGTCTAGTGAGAGGCAAAAAGCCATGTGATAAAAGGAAAGACTAACTTAGTGTCCCCAGTTAGGTTGGAGGAATGGCCTCCCTGGAGGCAGGTGTGCTGCACCTGTCTGAAGTCCTTTGGTCCACCACAGTTAACTCACTAAAGGTTGACTGAACAAGTACTATGGGGAAAGCACTGTTGGGGACACAAAAATTAATAAGACACAATTTTCATCTTCTGGAACTCATGATTAAATGCACAACACACACATTAACAGCTCCATTATCAAGCAGATGATGTAAGTGCTAAAAAGCTTCCAACAGGGTGCAAACTAAGCTCTATGAAGAGAAAGAGTTTAATCCGAATTATCTGAGAAGCTTCAAATNACAAACTGAGCTCTATGAAGAGAAAGAGTTTAATCCGAATTATCTGAGAAGCTTCAAATGAAAGATGGGTTTCTTTTTAAATCAAGCGATAACATTCAAGATTTTAAAGATTATTTTTGAGTAAATAACTTCATTTTTAAGTACTTTTATTCATTAGAACTACAACAGAATTGTTTTTTTCCCATTGAAAAGGTAACGGATTTGACATGTAAGTTAAAATTTTAGTTATATGGATTTATTTATAGCTCACCTTGAAACACAGGGAAATGTATTTTACAGACAAAACTTGTGGCCTGTTCAAAGGAAAGAAACAGTGTACCCAATAATCTACATTAATATTTCCTTAAAATTATACTCTCAGAGAATGGCTAGGTACATATAAATGGGCCAATTTTTACAGAAGTTTGTTCAGCATATCTGTAGTCCATTAAAAGCGTAAATACTAAACTGAAAATAAAATTCAGGGTCCTAGATTCATTTTTCATTCATACAGCCGCCTCCTGCAACACCGGCTTCTTCCAGATACATGGGCAAAGGTCTGACTCAGGCCTTGAAGCATTTGCTTTTCAAGTGAGCTCCACCGACACCATCTCTACACTTAGATTCTCCCTCAAAGATTCCGAGCTGCCCTGACCTAGTGCTGGACACGCTGCACACTGTGGGGCAGATGAAAGGACCGCACTCATTTCAGCTTAAAATCACGCGCACAGAGGGGTGGGCAAGTCCCAGCTGACATGCCAATGGGGGGCATTTTAAGAAGAAATTATGACAAGACAGGAGTGACCACAAACTGGGGAACATGCAGAAAGAAGTACGGTATCCAAACCGCTACTATTTTTAAAAAAACTTCCGGCTCTTCATTACATTACAGAATTCATCACACGTTTTGTAATTACTGAACGGTTCAACAACAAATTAGGAAAAAGTTTTAGGATAAATTCTATGCAGTTTTACAAAAAATATTTGCACTTAAATATTCCATTAAAACCAATCTCTTGAGATTACCTATAAATACAAAGGAACTAAAATCANAAAATATTTGCATTTAAATATTCCATTAAAACCAATCTCTTGAGATTACCTATAAATACAAAGGAACTAAAATCAGATGATAGGTTCAGGCAGGGGAAGCTGGGACCGAATAATATAAATTTGGGATCGGGCTACACGGTGCAGTGAGTGTCCTGCTCCAGGAGCCCGGGGAGGACCCCAGTGGACGGGTTGAGCGCAGGACTATCTGCGCCCCGCGGGCCCCCAACACTGGCTCCGTCCCTCCTTCCTCAGCTCCTGGGCCCCGGCAGGTCACCCTTTCAACAGAGGAGGTGCGGCTCTCCCGCAAACATGACTCCCCTGCAGGCGGTGAAGCCGCCCTCACGCACTCACCTGCTCACCTTCCCCGCCTCGCAGGGAGCCGTCCCCAAGGTGGGGGAAGGTCGCCCCCAGGGAGCTCGGGGAGGTGGTCCTGCTCCACGTCGCGCCCGCGGGTGGCCCGCAGCCTTTCGGGAAGGGAAGTGGGCGGCCTCCCAGGTGG